CGAAACAGAACTCAAAATTGAAGACAGTTGTTGCTAATGCTGTGACCACATCTCCTCACCTTCCTAGAGGAGCTAAAAGACATCCTCCTGGACCGCCAACAACACCATCCTGGGCCCGCACATCACATTATGTGATCATTTGGGACAATGCCCGCTTCCACAGAACAAACCAAATCAGAGAGTGGTTCACCACCAACAGTAACCACTTTTTAAACGTCTGTCTGCCACCCTACTCCCCTTTCCTGAACCCTAAAGAGGAGTTCTTCTCATCATGGAGACGGAAGGTTTATGACAGACAACCATACACTAGAGAACCTCCTAAGGGCAGTGGAGCTGGCCTGTGGTGACATCCCAGTGGAGGCCTTACAAGGATGGATTTGCCATTCCAGGGTGTTTACCCGCGGTGCCTGGCAAGAGACAATATAGCCTGCGATGTGGATGAGATGATGTGGCCCGATGCAGCTCAGCGACATGATGCCGCACAGTGATTGTGGTGTGTGTGTGTGTGTGTGTGTGTGTTGTGAATAAAGTAAATAAAAAAATTCACACCCTGTTCATGTTTTCAAGAGTACTGTTCTGTGCAATAGATTCTGTTTTGCATTGAGTTGTGTTACAGTAGTGTACATGCAGAATGTTCTATAGATTTATACTCTTCATATGAAATTCACAAATCTAAATGCCTAATCATCTGCAGAGATCTAAGAAGATCCGAAGCTGTAAAGTTTCTAAAAATGAGCAAATTGGCAGTTATGAAACAAAGGACCTTCTCACAAATTGAGCATTGTGTTTTCAATTGTTTTGCTGTAGTGTGTAATGATGTGTATAGTGTTTACATTTTTGAAAGCTTCGAGCTGCTCTTTTGGTGTGAAAGTTTGAGTTTTGAAGTGAGAAGGTGTGGTTGTGTTTATGTAGTTTTAGAAAAGGGTGTTGTGTTTAGACATTGGGGATCATGGAGGAAACGTTTGTGAAATGTGTTTTAGCATTTGAGAAAAACTGTAATGCCACAATGGACTATTCCTTTAAGACGCCGATGCACATACAGGAAGTGATTGGTCGTCATTCCACTCCAATCCAGCTGGTGGCAATAATGCACCAAATAGTTGTTTGCTAAGTGCAATGAGACCACAAATGGGAAGAAGAGAACGCAGAAGAAGAAGAAGAGAGGCGGGAGTGTTCGTAACAAACTCGAAGCAGTAGTCAAAAAATTAAGCATGAAATGGAGTTATCCTAGTGGCTCCAATAAGAGAAAGAAGCAGCTTGCTTTAAAAAACTTTTATCTTCACTTCCAAAAGTGACGTCGTTTTTCTATGTAAACATCAAAATAAGCAGAAAAGGAAAGACAATGGAAATTGTTTAAAGGGAGGAAACCATAGACCAAAATGGAAAATAGAAGAAAAAAAAACGCAGGCAAAAGCACAGGAGCACTGACAGGAAGAAGAAAGCAGAGCAAATATTGAAGGCACTCAAAGGGAGGGAAAGACAGGAAAAAAGAGGAGGACTAATAAAAAGTGAAAATAACTCATGTCAGAAGAGGGGAGAGTTTCGCTAGTCCAGTTAAAGATAAGATTGTCGAAAATTTCGTGTAAGGGGGCCACATGTCTGTGTTTGCTTTGGGCCCCCAAATTGCTAAATCCGCCACTGACTGCAGTAAATGTTTCCACTGATCTTTAGTTGGTCATCAACTTCCTGTTTCTATTTTATAGTTCGGAGATCTGCATAGGACATTTTCTCATCCCTTTGAAGTTGTTTCTCACTGCAACAATTACAAAAACTGAGGATGTAATTGTGAAGCCAGTATGCACCGTTTCATTGTTCCCAGGTGTGATCATTTCATTTTCTACATTGCTGCTTCTATCTTCCATGCAGTATTTGTAAATGATTTCCTTTTATGAGCCCACTGGTAAACGTGTACATCCCCTGTTGATGGAGTGATGCAGTCTGGACCCATAGCTGACTTTACAAAGGGGAGTGTCTCCCTTTGTGGCACACTGTGCTGTGACCAACCAGTGGGAAGTAAAATCAATTTAAATGTAAATAAGCAAACAGCAATCAGCAGCCTAGACTATTTAGCAATGATTTTATAATTGACACAGTTTTCACAAACAATGAGCGCACATCTGGGAACTAGCCATCTAAAACACGTCTCCTGTCCCAGAGTTCTTTAATTTGACTGAGACTGCAGAAATGTGCTGTGCTACTACTGATGATAAGAGTAATCCCCTTTGTGAGCCTGCGTGTGTTTGTTCTGCTGAAGTAGAAGAAAGTGATAAAAACAGAACTGAAAAGAGCTGGAGCCATAGTCTAGCCTTTCTTTACACAATTCTGTTCACCTGGAGCTTTAAACCAAAATCATCTAATGTGAGAATAGAGTTTTAACCTTTTGGTGACTTCATGAAATAACGCACCACACGATGTGTTGGTGGACGGAGTTTGTGATGGAAGGAACTCTTGACTGTTATCATGAAGCTAATTATCCAGTTCATGTAATAAAAATGAATGTTGATCAGCTTTGGTGGCCGTCTTTCATTGGGCTGACTCGACAGGTTCTCAGTTGCAGATGCGCATCCTGTAAACTCTTTCTCAGATTTCTCTTTAAAGCCATACTTTGCAACTTTTTCATAGTTTTAAATCATTTTCTTGAGCCAGTATGCGGTAAAATGACCTTTTACATGGTTAATGACATGTCACTCAGACCCCACCACCCTCTGTGGCCAGAATATTCCACTTGCAACTTCAGAGTGGTGAGCCACTCTGTTGACATACCTGGAGCGGACATACCTGGTGCTGCAGTCTGCTTCCAGCACGCTTCCTGCATGTTTTAGATCAGGAACACAGCTGATTTGTTCAATTTAGTGATGAATCACTCCTGTAGACACTGAGGAGGCTGGGGAGAAATGTCAGCAGTTAGATTATGGTGTTAAAAGGCGAATGTACAGCATGGAGATAGATTTAATTTTTGGTTTGACCACAGATAACTAATATCAGACACTAGGGGGTGCTAAAAGTGAGCACAGTTGCCAAGTGTGCCTTTAAAACCTACCCAGTGGTTTGGGAGATATGTGATTTTCTTTACATGGATGAAGAAGGGTGCTGACTACTTGATGTGTTTTCTGTGAGCTGTGCGGATCCCATGTTTATTATTGTTTCTGTTGATTTTATTTGTTTTTTCTGTCATGTTTTAATTATTCGGCTGCCGTGTCCGTTTATTTTGCAAAAGACAAATGTAAATGCACATTCAGTCACCACCCAAATTCATAAAGGGTGGCTGTCATCCTAAATGTAACAAACACGTTAAAGAAAAACCAAATGCATATCTTAGTTTAGGACAATTGAGCCTTAAGCTGGCTAGCCCAGCGTTTTGGTGACATCGATTTCTGCTGCAAACACTGATAAACAAAAAGAGCACATTAGCTTCTACTGCAAAGCTGCGGTCGTAAATATTGTCATAGAAACAATTGATTATTTGACCATGAGAGAAGATAATTACTAGACTCTAATTCCCCTCAGTGTGCACCAGCGCTGGATCAGTTCTTCTTAAACCTTCCATCAGGGTTCCCTGCCTTCATCCAGGAACTATTGTGCAGTAAAACCAGCTAAGTTGATTTTTTAAATTCTGCTTTTGTTTCACACTGGAGACCATCAACAGGCTGTGACAAGCATTAGGAATGACACAAACCATGTTCTCAAACCTTTGTAGATATGTTGGAAGAACCAAGGTGGAGCGATAAAAAGAGAGAAATATTGATTTTCTACCCTCTTTCTATTCTGCCGCCCTCTGCTTTGCCCCTGTGCTGGGTGTGTGTGTGTGTGTGTGTGTGTGTGTGTGTGTGTGTGTGTGTGTAACATTAATAGGGATTGTGGTTTGAGCAGGAGCTCTGACACTGCCACGCCTGATGACCCTGTCTTTGACTGAGCTCAGGTTACACACATTTGCTGAGAATCAGTCAGTCACACAGTCGGCCGGTCCCATGTGGTCCTATTATCTGCACTGAATCACCTCCATTGCTCTGCTTGTCTTGAGGCAGCAAACAATAAATCTAATCCAAGGACCTCTAGTATAGAATGGGGGAATCCCCATCACCTTAGCCTGTACTGTGTGTGTGTGTGTGCGTGTGTGTGTGTGTTTAGATTCCTTCTCCTCATAATCTGTGCAATTGTCTCTGTTATTTCTGTCGCTGTGCAGTCCCACTCGTTCCTCATTTAGAGGCGCAGCAGCCTGGGGCAGTAGGTGGTCTTTTCTTTTCTCTGTGTGTCCCGTTCCATCTGAAGTAAAACTAACGCTGCATTTCAGAAAAACAACATCACTGCATGATTTAACAATCAGACATGGAAATGGTGGTATGATGGTCTGGGGCTGCTCTGCAGCTTCAGGACCCGGGCCACTTGCTGTTATTAATAGAACCATGAATTCTAGCAGAAAGTGCTGAAGGAGAATGTCTGACCTTTGACCTTGAATAGACCATGAAAATGGGGCTAGAAACCCCTCCAGTGTGGCTTTGACCCATCCCTGAGGTGTGGCGGGCTGCTACCTGGGGGCAATGTTTAGGGCTCCGTGTTTTTAGCTGGGGAGTTTTGGTCCACTGGGATGTGGAACCAAACCCCTCTCCTTCTGATCAAAGGACATCTGCCCTAATCTTTTGAGCAATGCTGCCCTAAAATTTGTTAGCTGCATTGAAACACTGAGGTTTGACGAAAACAGGATAATCTTTAAAGCGGGAGATCCTCTATTACAGCACGGTACTTATTGCTAGACTTGACAAAAGCCCAGAAACTGAACCCAAAACAACCATCTACCCAGAGACTGTTACATTGTCCTGACTAATACACTTACATTCACAAAGATCATTCTTTCAACTCCTTCATTTTGTGATTCATGTAATTCTTACCTCGCTGTTGTTTACTAAAACATTCATTTTCCACCATAAAGATACCAATCGATACTCTAAAAACACAATGGCTTGAAGCGCTATCTTCAAACAGAAGACAATGGAGATCCTTAGTCCACCCTTATATGACTTTTATTGAATACACACCAGAAAAACATGCTGTTGTTGTATGTGTGTGTTCGCAGCCAGGTCAAAGAGCATGGTGATGGGAGAGGTGTCACGAGGCTCTTGCCGGCCGGGTTCCCCTAGCCTCCAGGAGGGGGCGCTGAAGACCGGATGGCTGAAGAAGCAGCGCAGTATCATGAAGAATTGGCAGCTTCGATGGTTTGTGCTGCGCTCAGACCAGCTCTATTTCTACAAAGACGAAGAAGAAACCAAACCACAGGTAAGGAGTATCAAAATCAGGCAGAATCATGTCGATCTTGTAGTGAAAGTATGAATGTTATTATGGAATTAGTTTGGTTTATTTAATCTGAAACACTTCTAAGTTCTTTTTCTAAAAAATGTTGTTGAGATTATCACATGACTCATCCATCGATAACCTGACAGTCCGAATTCAACCAGTCGAATCAAAGCCGCCATAGCACCCATTCACGTTGGAAAGACCCGTCAGGAGGTGAATGCAGGATCATAGCAAAGTCTTCAGAAGAATATCAACAAAGCAGTGGACTTCCCATTAATGTTAAATATTTTACCATTTGAAGCACAACAGCCCATCCAGGCCTGAAGCCTACTGCACACTGGAAGCATCAGCCTTCCAGAACGGCAGCTGCTTCAGATAACATCCATTAGAGCAGGCGTGGGGAACCCTGGTCTTCCAGGTCTGGCATCCTGCATGTCTTTGCTTTAACACTTCTGATTCAGTTCAGCAGCTCATCAGGCTCTACAGAAGCCTGTGAAGCTCCTGCTGATTAAAATCAGGTGTGTTGAAGCAGGGTTGAAACTAAAATATGCTGGATACCGGCCCTTGATGGACCAGGGTTCCCCACCCCTGCATTAGAGTCTTTGGGAGTGATTCAAACCAGACAGTTTCAATGTAAAACCCCGGGTAATTTCAAAATTAAAGTCTATTGCAGCGATGCAACTTCCTATCTATGTAGATTAAGTCAATACAAGTGACCTAACGGCTTATTTACTCCCTGCACCATTCCAGAAGTGCAGTGGTGTGTTTTTATGGCTTTAATCCTGGCAGTGGAGAGGAACAACATCATATATGACATCAAACAGTGATATCAAACACAATTTCCTTCTCTTTGGTTTAATGGCGGACAGCATAAACTTGAGGGATCTTGTGGGTCGAGCAAGGAGCACAGCGGAGAAGCCGCTTTGTGGTTGAGACTCCCGGTGTGCTCCGGAGTGCAGCGATTGTCGCGATGTTGGGGTAATTAGGAGCGAGTAATTAGTAATTAATTAATTACTTTTGGATTCTTCAATAAACTCTGTAAATATGGGAATATTTACCGATGTATTAATTAATTAAGATACTCTTACGTATCTACGGGGCACCATCCCTTTAATTAGAAAGGGAAATGAATCCAAAACTCTTATCAGTCTTTCTTGAAGATCGTGGACCAGAGGAGCAGAGACTTTAAATCGACACAAGAAATCTATTGGAGACAAATCTGAATTTTATAACATTTAATTAACAAGGAGATTAATAATGCAAAACAATGTTATAATTGAAAATGTGTGTAAAATGGAGGATGTCCCCACGTGATGGATTTGTTTCAGTGGTGAGTCCCCGACAAACCATAAAAACACGTATGAGTGTGTGTGTGTGAGTGGCTGTGTGTGGTGTGTGTGTGTGTAATCAATGAATGCTTTGTTTTCCAGAGCAGGTGTGCAGGGAGAGTGTCCTTGAGCTGTGTGCTGTAAGCTGTGAGTGTGTGTGGCTCTCCCCTCCCTTGTCCAGTTCTCCTTTCCCGAACACTTAGTGGCTTAAAATCACAGCAAAACTTAAACTTCAACACTTCAAAAGTTTAGACTCTTAAACAACAAAGGTCACTTGTAAATTATTTAATCTAACAGAGCCGATGCAGCCTGGCCACAGCTTACCGACACACCCAGATTAAATAAACAATAAACAAAAGATCTTACTTCACGGTATATATCTATAACGTGTTTGATTACGGAAGATAGAGAAAACCGTCTGATAATTTGAAGCAAGTCACGCGGTCGACTGCTTATTGTGAACTATAAGAGACGAGAAAGATAAAAAGAGAGAATGAGATAAAACTTGCAGGAGCAAAACAGCTGTTCCGGGCAAAGCAAGGCGTCCCTGGTCAGATGATTTACTCCGTTGTTCCTCCCCACGAGTGTCTCTCCACGGAATCAGCTGGACAGAGAGAGCAAAGTTTCTTTGTGCTGAGTTTGACAACTTACAGCGTCTCTGAGAGCGGGATGGGCTCCGCTCGTTCCCAGTCAGGTCCTGATGGAGTTGGAGTTTATCAGTCAGCGATCGTTTCCTTCACCTCAGCTGGAGGAATGCAGAAAAAGTAGATTTGCTTGCTGGGTTTCCAACCCAGCTTTTCAGCGTTCGGTGTTTGATCTGCTCACGTTGATCAGAGCAGCAGTAATGAGCGTCCTTTTACAGCCAGTGATACTGGACAAGGAACAGTTAAGTTTCGTTTTTCACTGAAACTTATAGTTTTGAGCTGGTTGTTGTGGTTTGTTCTGCGCATGTACAGAACCGTGCTCCGCCTTGGCGGTGACGTCATCATATTGTTTCCCTATGCAAAGCATCATGGGAAATGAAGTGTCTCTTGGCACTGATGTTATTATCTGCCTTTTCAGAGCAATTTAAGCACAGTCATTTTGGAGAAAATCACTGCATAGTAATTTCCTCATGAGGTCAGACCCTCAACGGCGAGCAAACCTTTCTGTTGCCGTTCCGCGCCGCTGATGCTTTCAGTGTGCAGTAGGGGTAAGGTTCCATCATGCAGTAGCCTAATGCTAGCTGGCGTGATCTTCTAGGAGATAGCTGTCCTACATTAGTAATCAGCAAATAGATTTCTATCTCAAGGTGTAAATTGCTCCCAAACGGCCTTGGCAGAGAGGTAATACTATTGAAATTGCAAGGACTTTTATGGCCTGCAGTAAAGTCTTTAACATCAGTGTCAATATCAACAACAAGGGTTGTGTCAATTTAGTTTACAACAAGCAATATAGTTAGCAAAGAAAAGACAGTAAAGTATTAAAATACTATGAAAATGTATCCGAAACACGAGGAAAGCTCAAGGAAGTTTATTGTTAGAAATGTGCAATGAAAGAACCAAACCAAGGTTAAGACAAATGTGGACAGTTCAGAGTGATGAGTAACCAGAGTAGAGTGGCTCTAGGTTTCATAGTGGAAGCCTTCCCAGACCTATCCTTATGTAGCCACCATCCTATAGGCCATTTGGCCTGTGCTGTGGATGAACGTCCTTGTCTTTCCTGCTGCCAATCATCACACCACCATCAGCCTGTGAATGTGTGTGTGCTTGGGTAAATGCCTGGTGTGTTGTTAAGGGTCTTGGGAGATTGTAGCACCCAAGAAGGCATTATATCAAATACCTACCATTTTCACCATCTGTCTTTAGTGGAGATATGCTGTTGACTCGTATTTTACCATGGATGGAAAATGATGCGAGGGTGGACACTCAACAACTCTGACAGGCTCAGCTGTAGCTGTAACAGGATGTGATGATGATGTAATCCAGGAACACACGCTTGCTCCTTTTGAATGTCCCTAATAATCGCCTTTCCTAGTTCTTGATGAAATCTCGACAAGTATTGATCCATTCAGGCTCCACTCTGCCTCCCTTTTCACATTGGCAGCAGCCATCACTGTCCTCCTGCTCCTATCACCAACACACACACACACACACACACACACACACACACACACACACACACACACACACACACACACACACACACACACACACACACACACACACAGACTAAAGCCTCCGACAACCTGCCTTCAATCACAGCTTGCCAATGCTCATTCAGCCTGTATTGATTTACAACTTCCTGTGGATTCAAGCTGCAACCCCCCCCCTCATCCCCATCCCCCCACCCCTCCAAAAAGTGAACGTGTGATTGTGTCATTCTACCCTTTTTGCACTTTCTTGTCTTCAAATCGATAGGAAATTCGAGGCCACGGTGAGTGTGAGGGGGAAAAGGGTGCAGTCCAATTGTAGGAGCATAAGACCCCCCACCCCACCCCCCACCAAGATTAAAGGATGTGATTATTGGCAGCAGGAAAGACAATGCTGACTGAGGATCTTTAAAGGTTTTCTCCTCATCACACTGAGGTACATCCACTGCAGAGCAAAAGGACTCCAGTTATCAGACAACAGATTAGTGCTCAGAATACTCAGCAGCCTCATTAAGAGCTTTGTTAGGTATAGAAACATGTTTTTTTTCTTTGTTCCATAAGCGAAAGTTGAATAAAAACCACATACCAATTAAAGGTAAATATTCTGATGTGAAGTTTTGGTTTACCATTAGCCTGTCACAGACGCCCACTTCACATGACCCTCCACAACCCACAGTATTATAGTTTTTCTCAATTGCCAAAGCACAATTCCTGAAACCTTGCTCCCTTTTCTCAAAACATTAAACACAAAACCTCAGCTTCAAGCACGATTTACAAAACCTCTCATTCCTCTTGCAAAATCAAACTTTCGCCTCAAAACAGTTTTAGCTGTGCTCAAAATCAAACACTACTCTCAAATCATAAACAAATTATCGTATTTTCTGGACTATAAGTCGCACTTTTTTTCATAGTTTGGCCGGTCCTGTGATTTATACTCCGGAGCGACTTATATACAAAATTATGTAGGCTATACCGCGCTTCTGCGGGCCGGCTCCGGACCAGGAATGAGCTCCCCTGTCCCGCTGGGAGAGTTTGAAATACCGCCAATCTCTGCTGGAGACCGTGGCGCGCTGTTGCGCATACCGCTGATGCAACAGCTGGTTGTTCATTCTGTTATTGTTACCTGTACTTGTCTTGCAATGTGAAATGCTTGGTCTCAGATTTTGTAAGAAAAATAATAAAATTTCCCCCCAAAATGCGACTTATAGTCCAGTGTGACTTTTATATGTTTATTTCTTCTTCATTATACATTTTATGGCTGGTGCGACTTATACTTCAGAAAATACGGTACTCAAAATTACATACACCATCGAGCAGTCAGTAAACAATACACCAAAAAATAGAAAGCACAATGTTCAGGGCCATACAGTTTGTTTATTGTACCATACAGCATGCAGTCCATTGTGCTACAGTGTTCAATGACAGTGGAAAAAAAACACACATGAAATGAAAAACATCAAAGGACTAAACATGTTATCAACGGGCCTCTTCTTGTCTATGGGCTGGGTCAGGCCACAGCACTTCATAGACATCACATGCAATATTTTCCCTCCTGAGGCTCAAATTGGGTTGCACATATGGGTTGCACTCTAAGTCCTGCCTCCCTCATTGTCAGCCCATGGACAACAACATGGTCTATGATCGTTGCTCAAATTTCATTGGATATGTCCACTCTTTGTCTTGCTCTTGCTCTTCCTCTTTGTCCTCCTCTTTCTCTATCTTGCCCTGCTCGTCATCCCCCACCTCGAATCCTTGTCCTCTTACATTAATTCTTCTATCCATTGTCACACTTTCTCATTCCCACCTTCAACAACCTGTTTGCTCTCTGAACTTGCTTATATTGCTCATTTGAAACAAGTGAAATCTATTTTTACTGATTGTGCTCAATCAATGACATTTGTGCTCATGTTGTGGGTAAATGTGTGCCACCTGTGTTTCCCGTTATGGACGACATGTACATTAGAGTGCAGAATGTGTTTGAAGAATGAGAATGTGTAGAGTAAACCGTGTGAAATGGTTTAAGGTTTTGGCAACAGGCACAACAGTTAGCTTAATGAGTTCAAGCTTAATTTGGAGTGTTACTCAACAATATTCCTGACATTGGGACATCTTTCTTCTGACTGGCTAAATGCAATGTGATTCTTCTTTTCCCCACCAATCACAAAAGCCTAAATGTGTTCTGCTATCTTGTGGAGTTGCTAATGCTAACGGCTAGCTTCTATTAGTCAAGATGCACGCTGCACTTTCCTGGATGCTAAATCAACATGGGTATGAGCCAAGATAAATGAGTCCGTGGAAGCAAATGTACAGTGTGACGTAGATCTGTGTTTTTTTTTTGTTTTTTTTTCCTGACCTGGGCTTTTTCCCATCCGGTTTCTTCTAATGCAGCGACTAGGAGTTGAAGTTCAGCATGTATGTGAAACTCAGAGACCGATCATGTCTCAAAAAGAACAACTATTATACATTAGTTAACGTCATCTTTAAACTCATTCCGTAACAAGAATTCTACGTTTTCCTAATGATATCTTTCTTTTTCTTTGACTTTCTGATTTGAAACTTAGCTGAAGTTTTAGTGTGAAAATAGCCTTAAAATAAAAGAATGAAACAATGGATGCTGGGATTTGACGATTTGTTATGATAAATAATGATAAAGTGGCTTGTCATACTTCTCACAATGGGGAAGGTTTTTAGAACTTCAATGAACTCAGTTTTCATCTTTATCAACAGGAACACACAGCTTATCCAAATTAGCGTTAGCAAACGCTAACAACAAACAGGACGTTTGTCACCTGCTTGTTTTGGTTTTTTGTTTCTTCAAGTGAAAAATCCTTTGTTTTGGCAGTTTGACCAAAAACTTTCAGTCTCCTTCCTTCATTTTTGGATGTTGTAGAAACATCTGCTTTAGGGTTAGAGCTGGGAACAGTCCAGTGTTGCTGCTGGACTGTGTAGAGGCCTTCATCTGGTAAACACTGGAAACAATTTTCTGTGAGTTTATTAGATATTAAGCTTCTTCTTTTGACTAATTATCATCCATGTCAACGTGTGTGTGTGTGTGTGTTTTGTGTTCTCAGATTATGTTGCTTTGTTCTTTTCCTCATTCATCTCTGGCCTGCTACTTGTGTTATTCTGTGCACACAGCTCCCCTGGGACACCCGTACTGCCCTGCCCCTGAGCTCTGTCCATCCACTCCTTCCATTTGTTGCCATAGCGACTAATGCTGACGACAGCCCGGCCCCTTCTGGCCGAGGCATTTTGGCAGACTCCTATGCCTGTTTGATGGAGGATGCCAGTGTGAAGATTAACGTTCCGACCCACAGACGCTGGCACCTCCTCAGCTTGCTTGGCCCAAGTTTTCAAAACTAAATGGGTATTGATCAGATAATGTATTCCGATAATCTGTGTGCATCCCACTTCAATCAAAGAAGAGGCTACTTCAAGTGTTTGAGGCGTAAAGAGATGAGTAATAAGAAGAAACTAAGGAGAGAGAAGAAATATGGAAGACGAGAGGAGCCTTGTTTTAAAATGTCGCACATGCAAAGCTAAAGATAATCTCTTTCATTGTAAAGAAACATTATAAAGACTGATAACTGCTGGTTTGTTTCAGGGTGTTATACCTCTGCAGGGATGCCAGGTGAACGAGCTCACAGCAAACCCAGATGAACCAGGAAGACACCTGTTTGAGATCATACCAGGTGAGATCTAGACACGAGCACAGAGAAGGTTTATAGTAAATACATCATTTGGCCCTGCGACGCGTTCGCCTCTCATACCCAGATACTTTCTTCATCTCTACCTGCTTGTTTCTACATTTTAAGGGACTCGGATTAGATTAAATAGTGAGGTTTAGCAATGATATTTTGAGTGATGGAGAGCATTTTAAAATGTGAAAGTTATCTTTGTATACATGTGAACTGGTCTGAAAGCTGTCTATTTTGATAAAAGTTCTTGTTGTTGGACAGCAGATGGCGATGTTGTCCAACATCCTGCATCCACGCCTTCTCACCTCAGAGCTGGCAAACATCAGGAGTACAGATTACGAGAATAAAAACTACCTACAAGACCATGGAGAGGAAATAAACTCCTCCATCATCCAGAGCAGCTATGAGATGATGGATTTCAGGAGCACTAGAGTGGTCACGCTTCACAAGCTCACAGCAGACAGACAGAAGGGTTTGCCTGCAGCCAAAGGTTAAGTGTGGTTAGTTTGACTTCCCGTGGTTTCACTAAATCAATATCAAACATTTTTCACATTTGTCTTCAATTCAAATTCAAATTCAAAAATACTTTATTAATCCCAGAGGGAAATTGATTGCTGTAGTAAATCAGAATAATAATAATAATAATGACTTGCAGGTCATATTAGTCACATTGTTCACGTAATGTGTGCAATAGAAAACTATAGATTTTAAGGAAAAGAAGAAGCTGTTTATTTATTTTTATTACATTTAAGTCACACTGCCTGAAATTAGCATGAATGAAAATGTGAGTCTGATGTGATCTGCATGTTCAGAGCATTCATGTTCATACCAAGTCAAAAAATATTAAGGAATTTATTGAGAAAGATCTATAATTTATTGTAAATTAAGTTTAAAATTAAATAGAAACGTTTTGAAGAAGTTTTACTGTTAAGCATCCCAGCCTCCCCTTTGTAATAATCAAAATGAAAGAACTGCTGAATGTCAACCTGTCACTACAGTCAAGATCAACAGAAATGTTAAAGCTGCTGGCACTGGCTCATTTGGGTAACCGTGTTCACCATCAGAGCCTCATTAAAATCACCATAATAACCATCAGAGCATCATTGTGTTACCATGGAAACCACACACCTGTGCCTTTAAATTCCTGTCAGTAAATATTTAGTGAAAGGACGACAGAGACGATGACAGTTATTGTATAAAAGTCAGATTTAGGAAAGTGTTCAACTTTGAGTGGAAAAACTTTCTTATTCATTGTTTTCTGTTGCCTGGCCTGCCAGACTCGCCCTCTTCTGCACAGAGGACGAGTCGGTACTCTCAGACAGAGAGCACCATGAGGGGCGGGACTAGCCAGTTTAAAAATAACCAATCAGAAAAAGTTGGAAATGACGACTATATCGCTTTTGGTTTTTTAGCTGTAGTCAAAGATGGCATCTGGCGACGGCACAAACATCTTTCTTTAGAAGAACGGCTTATAGCGCTTCTTCTTGTGGTTTTAGAGACGTGCTCAAGTCATTTAGATCAGAGGAAAGAGCTGCAGCGGACTCCGCTTCAGACGCCATCTTCGTTGTTTATGAGAAACTCAGTTGATTGGCTCGGCTAGAATTCTCAGGGGGTGGGGTTATGGGAGCATTGCCATGGGGCTGGATGGCTAGGCAAGTTGAAAGGACCCTTCACTTCCTGTTTTGAGGAGATTATTTAAACCGTAAGTGCAGACCTGATGCTTGGAGGTGTAATCTTTGCACTCCGAGACGATTTAGCAGAAAATCATTCAACAGAGGGAAATGGCATGAATACTTCACGTGTGATGCAACAGCTCTATTTGGACTCAGAATGTTGTGGAGGCAAAAAGAGTTTGATCTTAGAAAATAACTTCAAACTGCCATTGAGTAAAATCTGTGAAGGAAATCAAACCGCCGGTTGAGTTCGGTGATTTCTGCGAGCTGTTTAAGCCGAAAGTTTCCTGAGAGCTCCAAAGGGGGAGATGAAACGGCATTTTTCATCAAACTTTGATGAACTGCTGCCTAACATCCCAGCCTGGTGTTCCTGACCAAACTTCACGTTTAGATCATCTTTACAACGTTGAAGAGCATCAGAGCAAACAAACACCAGGTCAGAATCATGAATAGTTTCACAGGTTTTCATTGTTTTCTCTTTATTCGATTGTTTTGTTTTCCATGAGATTCAGAACACGTGTTGATAAGATAAGGAACTAACTTTTTCCACCAAGTTGTCTTCAGGAGCGTTACCAGGGGCTTCACCGTCCATTTCTTGCACATTGCTCTTTATTTTAACGTTTGCTCTTGGGTCTCTGCTCGTGTTTAGAGTGGAGGACAGGCTTGTGTGTTTTGTTTATAGCCAGTCAACATCACAGAAAAGTGTGAACCGCCGCCAGCTTCAGGCGTGCTGACAGGCCTGCAGACCTGATGAGGAGAGGAGAGGAGAGGAGAGGAGAGGAGAGGAGAGGAGAGGAGAGGAGAGGAGAGGGGGAAAGGCTGACCGCTGGAGGAGGAAAACAAGTCAGGTGGAAAGAGAGAGGCTGACTTCAGCAGAAACCTGCTTCAGATGAATAACTGATGAAGAAACATCGACCCGATAGATCTGGTGCTGCTGGCTCCTCAGGGAAGAAAGATGAGTTACTCTGATTTTCTTTCTCCAGTCTGTAATCGGCTTACAGCGACGAGGGCTGTTGTATGAAATGAATAGGCTTAAAGTTTCAGACTGTAGATCGGAGCCGGGCGCTTCCTCTCCTGTTCCTCAGCAGGCTTTGTGAGGTCTGGCCTTGGCTGTGATCAGATAAGATCTGAAGATCATTACTATAATTGATCTGAATCTGTAATTCATCAGCTGATCACCAAATTTATATAACAAAGTGTCCCCAAACCTCTCAGGGTTGGTAATCAAAGATTTAGGATAAATTAAACGTTGTGACTTCGGCTGCCTCTACAAGTAGAATAATATACGTTGAATGGAAAAGTCTGGTGGCTGATGAGGACTTCTAGACTGATAACCCCTCATTGTTCAGGCCACATGGGTCAGAGATGAAGGTGGACGTTCATCTATCACTTGATGGATTCCTCTCGTGGTGTCTGCTGGAACAAAAGATGTGGAGCCCGGCCTTTCTTCTAGAGTCTGTCACTGACTGATTGTGTGTGTGTGTGTGTGTGTGTGTGTGTGTGTGTGTGTGTGTGTGTGTGTGTGTTTTGTGATATACAGTGCTCAGCATAAATGAGTACACCGCCTAAAAAAGTACAAGTTTAATCAGTAACTGAATGAACAAAAGATCAATTTCCAGAACTTTCACAAGGCTGGTTTTATTGAACACGTGTTTAACTTCAACATGGAATTAAAGTTAATAATATAACTTAGATCACTAAATCTTCAGTTTTACTAAAACTGGTTGAAGAAAAACGAATACACCCCACAACAAAATCTACTTCATCTAGTATTCTGTACCGTGATTTTGAAGGGCAGCACCGAGTTTTCTAGACATGGAATGAACAAGTTGGCGACATATTACCACATCTATCTTCTTCCACTCTTGAAGAAGAACCTCTTTTAGATCCTGGATGCTGGGTGGAGAGTGATGCTCAACTTGCTGCTTCAGAATTCTCCACAGGTGTTCGATTGGGTTCAGATCAGGAAACATACTTGGTCAGGGCGCTTCCGGTCGGTAACAAGATAGCGCCTGTGCTTGGCTTAGTCGCGGTCATCGGCCACTTTTTCAAACTTTTCTCCACTAACCTCCTCTTTTCCTCCTTGCTCCTGTCTGTGATCCTCTTCAGTAGTGTCCCTGCTACCATCTCCTATGATCACCAGACTCTTTTGTCCTTCCGTTCGTTCACGATCGCCCAAGATGCACCAAGGACGTACCTCCCTGTTTGTTTATCTGAGTGGCGCCCTGGCCTGGAGCCAAACGACGATTCCAACCATGGCGCCTCCAGCTATGTTTATCCGGTCCCGGGAAAACATCAGAGGAAAAGAGGTAAATGAGCAGGAATCCAGGCGAGAATAAGACTTCTCTTAAAGCGTGTTTATCCAGTAAACATCGGTGTGATCTCCTAGTTTCTTGTCCTTTGTTTGGCGACTTGAGCGCTACTTCCACATTCCCGCCAGGCCGCGTTGCAGCGCGGTTTCTCCGTCCAAGTTTTTAAGGTCGGTTTATCCTCATTCCTCAGTTGTTTCTCCTGTTCCCTCCATAAGTGGTTTTTATAAACACCGTGGATCTAACCCTACTAATTTACGTCCACTAACTCCAGCTGTTTCTGTAGTTTCTGATTCCTCCACCTCTCTCAGCATGGCTCTATTAAATACCTGCTCTATTAACAATAAGTCCTTCCTGCTCAATGATCTAATTCTGTCTAAAAACCTGGATTTTCTGTTTCTGACTGAAGTTTGGCAGCAAACATCTGATTATTCTGCTCTGATTTAACTTTGCCCGAGTGGTTATTCTTTTCTTAGCCAGCCCTGGGGTTCTGGTCGTGGTGGAGGCCTAGCTGTTGTTTTCAGAGACCATCATCCATGTAGCTCTAAAACCTCTGGTCACCTTGCTTCCTTTGAACTGCAGCTGATTAAAGTCGGGCGTAAGAACCCGTTCTACTGTGCTGTGGTCTATCGTCCACCTGGTGCAAACAGTTCTTTCCTTCAGGAGTTTAGTGACTTTCTATCCTCCACTGTGAAGCTGTCCAGACTGGTGATTGTTGGTGACTTTAACATCCACGTTGATGATCCCTCCAATCTCTTTGCCATGAATTTCTCCAGCCTTATGGACACCTTCGGCTTTACCCAGCATGTTTCTGGCCCCACACACACCAGGGAGCACACTCTGGACCTTGTTTTTCCCCTTGGCCTAAATGCTGACAGTGTTTGTCCTGAGAACGTTTATATTTCAGATCAACATTGCATTTTCTTTAACTTGTCAGTGTCTGCGTCTCCACCTCCTGCTCGCCGTATGGTTAGTTCTCGTTTTCTTAATGAGAGCACAGCTAGCAATTTTT